TGGGCCACGACGGGAGGAAGGGGGGACATCCCTTGGCACACGCCACCATGGCCTGCCTGGAGGAGGTGGCCAGGAGACAGAGGAGGGCCTGGGGGGGGGCCACGGGGGGAGGTCCTAGAGGTTCTGGAGGTCTTGGAGGTTTTGGAGGTTCTGGTGGAGCTGGAGGTTCTGGAGATGGTGGTGGCCTTGGAGGTTCTGGAGGTCGTGGAGATTCTGGTGGCCCCAGAGGTTCTGGTGATGGTGGTGGCCCTGGAGGTTTTGGAAGTTCTGGAAGTCCTGGAGGAGCTGGAGGTTCTAGAGGTTCTGGAGGTTCTGGTGGCCCCAGAGGTTCTGGAGGAGCTGGAGGTTTTGGAGGTCCTAGAGGTTCTGGAGGAGCTGGAGGTTCTGGAAGTTCTGGAGGTCCTGGTGGCCCTGGAAGTTCTGGAGATGCTGGAGGTTCTGGAGGAGCTGGAGGTTTTGGTGGCCCTGGAGGTTCTGGAGATGGTGGTGGCCCTGGAGGTTCTGGTGGCCTTGGAGGTTGTGGAGGTTCTGGAAGTTCTGGAGGTCCTGGTGGTTCTGGAGGAGCTGGAGGTTCTGGAGGAGCTGGAGGTTCTGGTGGCCCTGGAGGTTCTGGAGATGGTGGTGGTGCTGGAGGTTTTGGAAGTTCTGGAGGAGCTGGAGCTTCTGGAGGTTTTGGTGGCCGTGGAAGTTGGCCCTGGAGGTTTTGGAAGTTCTGGAAGTCCTGGAGGAGCTGGAGGTTCTAGAGGTTCTGGAGGTTCTGGTGGCCCCAGAGGTTCTGGAGGAGCTGGAGGTTTTGGAGGTCCTAGAGGTTCTGGAGGAGCTGGAGGTTCTGGAAGTTCTGGAGGTCCTGGTGGCCCTGGAAGTTCTGGAGATGCTGGAGGTTCTGGAGGAGCTGGAGGTTTTGGTGGTCTTGGAGGTTCTGGAGGAGCTGGAGGTCCTGGAGGTTCTGGGGGAGCTGGAGGGTCTGGAGATGGTGGTGGCCCTGGAGGTTCTGGTGGCCTTGGAGGTTGTGGAGGTTCTGGAAGTTCTGGAGGTCCTGGTGGTCTTGGAGGTCCTGGTGGTTCTGGAGGAGCTGGAGGTTCTGGTGGAGCTGGAGGTTCTGGTGATGGTGGTGGCCCTGGAGGTTTTGGAAGTTCTGGAAGTCCTGGAGGAGCTGGAGGTTCTAGAGGTTCTGGTGGCCCTGGAGGTTCTGGAGGTTCTGGTGGCCCCAGAGGTTCTGGAGGAGCTGGAGGTTTTGGTGGCCCTGGAGGAGCTGGAGGAGCTGGAGGTTCTGGAGGTCCTGGAGGAGCTGGAGGTTCTGGAGATGCTGGTGGTCTTGGAGGTTTTGGTGGCCCCAGAGGTTCTGGAGGAGCTGGAGGTTCTGGAAGTTCTGGAGGTCCTAGAGCTTTTGGAGGTCCTGGTGGTCTTGGAGGAGCTGGAGGTTCTGGAGGTCTTGGAGGTTCTGGAGGTTTTGGTGGTTCTGGAGGTTCTGGAAGTTCTGGAGGTCCTAGAGCTTTTGGAGGTCCTGGTGGTCTTGGAGGTTCTGGAGCATCTGGAGGAGCTGGTGGAGCTGGAGGTTCTGGAAGTTCTGGAGGATCTGGAGGTTCTAGAGGTTCTGCTGGTCTTGGAGGTTCTGGTGGCCTTGGACTGGAGATGGTGGTGGCCCTGGAGGTTCTGGAGGTTTTGGAGGTTCTGGTGGCCTTGGAGGTTTTGGAGGTCCTGGTGGTCTTGGAGGTTCTGGAGCATCTGGAGGAGCTGGTGGAGCTGGAGGTTCTGGAAGTTCTGGAGGTTTTGGTGGTTCTGGTGGCCCTGGAGATGCTGGTACCCCTATGGACATTGATGATCCTGAAGGTCTTGGTGGCCCTGGAGGTTCTGGAGATCCTGGTGGCCCTGAAAGTTCTGGAGGCCCTAGAAGTTCTGGAAGTTCTGGAGGCCCTGGAAGTTCTGGAGGTCTTTGTGGCCCCGGAGGTCTTGGTGGCCCTGGAAGTTCTGGAGATCCTGGTGGCTCTGATGGCCCTGGAAGTCTTGGTGACCCTGGAAGTTCTGAAAGTTCTAGAGGCCCTGGAAGTCTTGGTGGCCCTGGAGGTCTTGGTGGCCCTGGAAGTTCTGGAGATCTTGGTGGCCCTGGTGGCCCTGGAAGTTCTGGAGATCCTGGTGGCCCTGGTGACCCTGGAGGTCTTGGTGACCCTGGAAGTTCTGGAGATCCTGGTGACCTTGGTGGCCCTGGAAGTTCTAGAGGCCCTGGAAGTTCTGGATGTTCTGGAAGTTCTGGTGACCCTGATGGCCCCGGAAGTTCTGGAAGTTCTGGAGATCCTGGTAGCCTTGGAGGTCTTGGTGGCCCTGATGACCCTGGTGACCCCGGTGGCCCCGGTGGCCCCGAGGCGCTGGGGGGCTACCTGTGCGTGGGCTGTGACGTGTACCTGACGCGGGAGCCCTGCGCTCTCTGCGCCATGGCCTTGGTCCACGCCCGCGTCCGCCGCGTCCTCTTCTGGCTCCCCACCCCCCAGGGCGCCCTCAGCACCCGCTACGGCCTCCACGGCCGCCGGGGCCTCAACCACCGCTACCGCGCCTACGGCGGCGTCGCCCCCCAACCGCCCCCCCCCACCCCCCAATAAAGGACTGGGAGCCCCAATGGGGCGACTGGGACAACTGGGAGGCCTCGGAGATCTGGGTCTGGGAGATCTAGGAGGCCCTTGAAGGTCCTTGAGGAGCCATGAGGCCTAGAAGGTCCATGAGGCCTAGAAGGCCCATGATGTTTCTGAGACCCATGGAGGTCCTTGAAGGCCAGAAGATCCATGAGGGCCAGAAGGTCCATGATGTTTCTGAGGTCCATAGGGGTCCATGAGGCCTAGAAGGTCCTTGAGGGCCAGAAGGTCCATGAGGCCTAGAAGGTCCATGAGGGCCAGAAGGTCCAAGAGGGTCAGAAGGTTCTTGGGGTCCATGAGGGTCAGAAGGTCCATGAGGGCCAGAAGGTCCATGATGTTTCTGAGGTCCATAGGGGTCCATGAGGGCCAGAAGGTCCATGAGGGCCAGAAGGTCCTTGAGGCCTAGAAGGTCCCTGAGGGCCAGAAGGTCCTTGAAGAGTAGAAGGTCCATGACACCCAACAGGTCCATGAGGGCCAGAAGGTCCATGAGGGCTAGAAGGTCCATGAGGGCCAGAAGATCCTTGGGGTCCATGAGGGCCAGAAGGTCCACAAGGCCCATGAGGAGCCATGAGGGCCAGAAGGTCTATGATGTTTCTGAGGCCTAGAAGGTCCATGAGGGCCAGAAGGTCCATAAGGAGTAGAAGGTCCAAGAGGGTCAGAAGGTCCATGAGGGTCCTGAAGCCCATGGGGGTCCATGAGGGCCAGAAGGTCCATGAGGGGCAGAAGGTCCATGGGGAGTAGAAGGTCCATGAGGGTCAGAAGGTCCATGAGGGGCAGAAGTTCCTTGAGGAGTAGAAGGTCCATAGGGACTAGAAGGTCCATGAGGACCAGAAGGTCCATGAGGGCCAGAAGGTCCATGATGTTTCTGAGGCCCATGGGGGTCCATAGGACTAGAAGGTCCATGAGGGCAGAAGGTCCTTGGGGTCCACGGCCTCCACGGCCGCCGGGGCCTCAACCACCGCTACCGCGCCTACGGCGGCATCGCCCCCCAACCGCCCCCCCCCGCCCTGGAGGAGCTGGAGGTTCTGGAAGTTCTGGAGGATCTGGAGGTTCTAGAGGTTCTGCTGGTCTTGGAGGTTCTGGTGGCCTTGGAGGTTTTGGAGGTCCTGGTGGTCTTGGAGGTTCTGGAGCATCTGGAGGAGCTGGTGGAGCTGGAGGTTCTGGAAGTTCTGGAGGTTTTGGTGGTTCTGGTGGCCCTGGAGATGCTGGTACCCCTATGGACATTGATGATCCTGAAGGTCTTGGTGGCCCTGGAGGTTCTGGAGATCCTGGTGGCCCTGAAAGTTCTGGAGGCCCTAGAAGTTCTGGAAGTTCTGGAGGCCCTGGAAGTTCTGGAGGTCTTTGTGGCCCCGGAGGTCTTGGTGGCCCTGGAAGTTCTGGAGATCCTGGTGGCCCTGGTGACCCTGGAGGTCTTGGTGACCCTGGAAGTTCTGGAGATCCTGGTGACCTTGGTGGCCCTGGAAGTTCTAGAGGCCCTGGAAGTTCTGGATGTTCTGGAAGTTCTGGTGACCCTGATGGCCCCGGAAGTTCTGGAAGTTCTGGAGATCCTGGTAGCCTTGGAGGTCTTGGTGGCCCTGATGACCCTGGTGACCCCGGTGGCCCCGGTGGCCCCGAGGCGCTGGGGGGCTACCTGTGCGTGGGCTGTGACGTGTACCTGACGCGGGAGCCCTGCGCTCTCTGCGCCATGGCCTTGGTCCACGCCCGCGTCCGCCGCGTCCTCTTCTGGCTCCCCACCCCCCAGGGCGCCCTCAGCACCCGCTACGGCCTCCACGGCCGCCGGGGCCTCAACCACCGCTACCGCGCCTACGGCGGCGTCGCCCCCCAACCGCCCCCCCCCACCCCCCAATAAAGGACTGGGAGCCCCAATGGGGCGACTGGGACAACTGGGAGGCCTCGGAGATCTGGGTCTGGGAGATCTAGGAGGCCCTTGAAGGTCCTTGAGGAGCCATGAGGCCTAGAAGGTCCATGAGGCCTAGAAGGCCCATGATGTTTCTGAGACCCATGGAGGTCCTTGAAGGCCAGAAGATCCATGAGGGCCAGAAGGTCCATGATCGCCCCCCAACCGCCCCCCCCCGCCCCCCAATAAAGGACTGGGAGCCCCAATGGGGCGACTGGGACAACTGGGAGGCCTCGGAGATCTGGGTCTGGGAGATCTAGGAGGCCCTTGAAGGTCCTTGAGGAGCCATGAGGCCTAGAAGGTCCATGAGGCCTAGAAGGCCCATGATGTTTCTGAGACCCATGGAGGTCCTTGAAGGCCAGAAGATCCATGAGGGCCAGAAGGTCCATGATGTTTCTGAGGTCCATAGGGGTCCATGAGGCCTAGAAGGTCCTTGAGGGCCAGAAGGTCCATGAGGCCTAGAAGGTCCATGAGGGCCAGAAGGTCCAAGAGGGTCAGAAGGTTCTTGGGGTCCATGAGGGTCAGAAGGTCCATGAGGGCCAGAAGGTCCATGATGTTTCTGAGGTCCATAGGGGTCCATGAGGGCCAGAAGGTCCATGAGGGCCAGAAGGTCCTTGAGGCCTAGAAGGTCCCTGAGGGCCAGAAGGTCCTTGAAGAGTAGAAGGTCCATGACACCCAACAGGTCCATGAGGGCCAGAAGGTCCATGAGGGCTAGAAGGTCCATGAGGGCCAGAAGATCCTTGGGGTCCATGAGGGCCAGAAGGTCCACAAGGCCCATGAGGAGCCATGAGGGCCAGAAGGTCTATGATGTTTCTGAGGCCTAGAAGGTCCATGAGGGCCAGAAGGTCCATAAGGAGTAGAAGGTCCAAGAGGGTCAGAAGGTCCATGAGGGTCCTGAAGCCCATGGGGGTCCATGAGGGCCAGAAGGTCCATGAGGGGCAGAAGGTCCATGGGGAGTAGAAGGTCCATGAGGGTCAGAAGGTCCATGAGGGGCAGAAGTTCCTTGAGGAGTAGAAGGTCCATAGGGACTAGAAGGTCCATGAGGACCAGAAGGTCCATGAGGGCCAGAAGGTCCATGATGTTTCTGAGGCCCATGGGGGTCCATAGGACTAGAAGGTCCATGAGGGCAGAAGGTCCTTGGGGTCCACGGCCTCCACGGCCGCCGGGGCCTCAACCACCGCTACCGCGCCTACGGCGGCATCGCCCCCCAACCGCCCCCCCCCGCCCCCCAATAAAGGACTGGGAGCACCAATGGGGCAACTGGGACAACTGGGAGGCCTTGGAGGTCTGGGAGATCTAGGAGGCCCTTGAAGGTCCATGAGGGGCCACAAGGCCTAGAAGGTCCTTGAGGACTAGAAGGTCCATGAGGGCCAGAAGGTCCATGGGGAGTAGAAGGTCCCTGAGGGCCAGAAGGTCCATGAGGGTCCTGAAGCACATGGGGGTCCATGAGGGGCAGAAGGTCCTTGGGGGCCAGAAGGTCCTTGAGGGCCAGAAGATCCTTGGGGTCCATGAGGGCCAGAAGGTCCACAAGACCCATGGGGGTCCATGACGGCCAGAAGGTCCATGACACCCAACAGGTCCATGAGGGCCAGAAGGTCCACAAGGACTAGAAGGTGCATGAGGACTAGAAGGTCCATGAGGGCCAGAAGGTCCTTGAGGCCTAGAAGGTCCCTGAGGGCCAGAAGGTCCATGAGGAGTAGAAGGTCCATGAGGGCCATGGGGGTCCTTGAGGGCCAGAAGGTCCTTGAGGCCTAGAAGGTCCATGAGGGCCAGAAGGTCCACAAGGCCCATGAGGAGCCATGAGGGCCAGAAGGTCTATGATGTTTCTGAGGCCTAGAAGGTCCATGAGGGCCAGAAGGTCCATAAGGAGTAGAAGGTCCAAGAGGGTCAGAAGGTCCATGAGGGTCCTGAAGCCCATGGGGGTCCATGAGGGCCAGAAGGTCCATGAGGGGCAGAAGGTCCATGGGGAGTAGAAGGTCCATGAGGGTCAGAAGGTCCATGAGGGGCAGAAGTTCCTTGAGGAGTAGAAGGTCCATAGGGACTAGAAGGTCCATGAGGACCAGAAGGTCCATGAGGGCCAGAAGGTCCATGATGTTTCTGAGGCCCATGGGGGTCCATAGGACTAGAAGGTCCATGAGGGCAGAAGGTCCTTGGGGTCCACGGCCTCCACGGCCGCCGGGGCCTCAACCACCGCTACCGCGCCTACGGCGGCGTCGCCCCCCAACCGCCCCCCCCCGCCCCCCAATAAAGGACTGGGAGCCCCAATGGGGCGACTGGGACAACTGGGAGGCCTCGGAGATCTGGGTCTGGGAGATCTAGGAGGCCCTTGAAGGTCCTTGAGGAGCCATGAGGCCTAGAAGGTCCATGAGGCCTAGAAGGCCCATGATGTTTCTGAGACCCATGGAGGTCCTTGAAGGCCAGAAGATCCATGAGGGCCAGAAGGTCCATGATGTTTCTGAGGTCCATAGGGGTCCATGAGGCCTAGAAGGTCCTTGAGGGCCAGAAGGTCCATGAGGCCTAGAAGGTCCATGAGGGCCAGAAGGTCCAAGAGGGTCAGAAGGTTCTTGGGGTCCATGAGGGTCAGAAGGTCCATGAGGGCCAGAAGGTCCATGATGTTTCTGAGGTCCATAGGGGTCCATGAGGGCCAGAAGGTCCATGAGGGCCAGAAGGTCCTTGAGGCCTAGAAGGTCCCTGAGGGCCAGAAGGTCCTTGAAGAGTAGAAGGTCCATGACACCCAACAGGTCCATGAGGGCCAGAAGGTCCATGAGGGCTAGAAGGTCCATGAGGGCCAGAAGATCCTTGGGGTCCATGAGGGCCAGAAGGTCCACAAGGCCCATGAGGAGCCATGAGGGCCAGAAGGTCTATGATGTTTCTGAGGCCTAGAAGGTCCATGAGGGCCAGAAGGTCCATAAGGAGTAGAAGGTCCAAGAGGGTCAGAAGGTCCATGAGGGTCCTGAAGCCCATGGGGGTCCATGAGGGCCAGAAGGTCCATGAGGGGCAGAAGGTCCATGGGGAGTAGAACATTATCAATGACCAGTACAGACCAGTACGGACCATTATGGACCAGTACACACCAGTACAAACCACCACAGACCAGTACAGACCAGTACGGACCATTGTCAATGACCAGTAAAGACCAGTACAAACAAGTACAAACCAGTACAAACCAGTACAGCCCAGTACAAACCAGTATACACCAGTGCACACCAGTACAGACCAGTACAGACCAGTACGGACCAGTGCAGACGATTGTCAATGACCAGTGCAGACCAGTATGGACCAGTGCAGACCAGTACAGACCAGTACGGACCAGTACACACCAGTATGGACCAGGGCAGACCATTGTCAATGACCAGTGCAGACCAGTACAGACCAGTATGGGCTGTTATGGACCAGTACAGACAGTAGTACAGACCAGTACAGACCAGTACTGACCATTGTCAATGACCAGTACAGACCAGTACGGACCAGTACAGACCAGTATGAACCATTATGGACCAGTACGGACCAGTGTGGACCAGTACAGCCCAGTACAAACCAGTGCAGACCATTGTCAATGACCAGTACAGACCAGTACGGACCAGTACAGACCAGTATGAACCATTATGGACCAGTACGGACCAGTGTGGACCAGTACAGCCCAGTACAAACCAGTGCAGACCATTGTCAATGACCAGTACAGACCAGTACGGACCAGTACAGACCAGTATGAACCATTATGGACCAGTACGGACCAGTGTGGACCAGTACAGCCCAGTACAAACCAGTGCAGACCATTGTCAATGACCAGTACAGACCAGTACGGACCAGTACAGACCAGTATGAACCATTATGGACCAGTACGGACCAGTGTGGACCAGTACAGCCCAGTACAAACCAGTGCAGACCATTGTCAATGACCAGTACAGACCAGTACGGACCAGTACAGACCAGTATGAACCATTATGGACCAGTACGGACCAGTGTGGACCAGTACAGCCCAGTACAAACCAGTGCAGACCATTGTCAATGACCAGTACAGACCAGTACGGACCAGTACAGACCAGTATGAACCATTATGGACCAGTACGGACCAGTGTGGACCAGTACAGCCCAGTACAAACCAGTGCAGACCATTGTCAATGACCAGTACAGACCAGTACGGACCAGTACAGACCAGTATGAACCATTATGGACCAGTACGGACCAGTGTGGACCAGTACAGCCCAGTACAAACCAGTGCAGACCATTGTCAATGACCAGTACAGACCAGTACGGACCAGTACAGACCAGTATGAACCATTATGGACCAGTACGGACCAGTGTGGACCAGTACAGCCCAGTACAAACCAGTGCAGACCATTGTCAATGACCAGTACAGACCAGTACGGACCAGTACAGACCAGTACAGACCACTATGGACCAGTACAGGCCATTGTTAATGACCAGTACAGACCAGTATGGGCCATTATGGACCAGTACAGACCGTAGTAGACCAGTACAGACCAGTACACACCAGTACAAACCAGTTCAGACCAGTACACACCAGTACAAACCATTATCAATGACCAGTAAAGACCAGTACACACCAGTACAAACCAGTACAGCCCAGTACAGACCAGTACAAACCAGTTCAGACCAGTACACACCAGTACAAACCATTATCAATGACCAGTAAAGACCAGTACACACCAGTACAAACCAGTACAGACCAGTACAGACCAGTAAGGGGTCATTATGGACCAGCACAGACCAGTACAGACCATTATCAATGACCAGTACGGACCAGTACACACCAGTATGGACCAGTACGGACCAGTACAAACCAGTACAGCCCAGTACATCCCAGTACAGCCCAGTACAAACCAGTTCCCCCCCATCCCCCGTCTCTCCCCACTCCCTCGGGGCAGCGCCGGG